GAAAACATCCTGATGGCTGCCCGTGCAGTTGTCTCCCCCCAACCTGGTAAACTGTGATAGCTACCAGTAGCAACAGTCAGGAAATTGTGAAACGATTGTAACTGTGACACGCTGCGAAACCTTTAGGCTCGAAGACAGGGGCACACCGCTGGCCAGTGGGTTGCTCGACATGCTCGCTGATCACATCTCAGTGTCTAGCTCGCAATGGAGTGAAGAAAGGTCAATGATCATACATCTGATCTACCACACTAGCGGGAGAGGAAGCCCAACTGACTATCGAGCTCCAGGAATTTGACCGCCTCCAGGAATTTGAAAGTGCAGTTTTGAGCACAATTTGGAGAATGTCTCCAACAACCCCTATGTCATTGTTAGCGCCCATGAAGGACAATATACAGCAAGACATGACCCCCCACTTCCGGATAATGCAAGCTTTGGCCAGGTGATCTCTTTCGCCTCCTTCTATCAGACTAGTTTTCGGATCGAACTCCCACTCTGGCATGAAGTCGAAGAGGGGATTACCCACCCAGGACAAGAGACTCCGGAAGTAGCACTGCCAGTGCTAGCCAAACTGACAGAGTCCTGCCTGCCAGTTTCCCTGGAGGACAATGCAAGGTCATGTCGCTTCGTCATTGCCGCTCCCCATTGCCATTTTGGAGCCGCTGTCATGGAGCGCACCCTTGTCACCTCCTCCCCCTGGGGGGGGGGGAGGGCGAGGTGGGGTGACTGCTTGTCTTGGTTCATCCCGTCCTATGTCCTCTGCAGGTCATTGCTTTCGTAAGCTTGACAACCAACTCCCCTGAGCATCCGGATATCAGTTTAGCCATTAGCCATTAGTGCAGAGCTATCAGTGCTCAATCTATGTACGCCTTGCCAACCTTCCTTGGGATTTTGAACATGGTGAGTCTCAAACTGCAGCGATCATTCCCTTTTTCTGTGGGGAGTGCAGAAGTATATATAACTAATGCTTGCAGGAAGAAAACCTCTCCCTGCTGTTGGTGCACTGTGCCTTACTGATCTGACTTGTTTGACACAAATTACATCCTACAGAGGCAATTTCGTACCCCTGGACATGAGTGACGATTCGCCTCTCTACAGTGCTCCGATGCCAAAGTTCCACACTGCTGCACACATTTGAACAGCCAGGCAGACTCGTCCGCAATAAATATTGCATGAGAACTCATTGCCCGCCAAAAGGAAGTTTGCCACTTCTTGATCAGCACGAACTGAGCGCAGGCTGACTCGTGAATTCATTGCCCCGTTTCACCTTTATTTGAAGATAGTCGGTTCTGCCCTGACAGTACAGATGAAATACGAGCTTGGCCTGTTTTGGTGTTTTTGTGGTGTTTGGTTGTTGGTTGTTTGTTTTGTTTTTTGCTCTGGTGCCTGACTCGTATCTCCTTAGTATCCCTATTTAATTCAATCAAGGTGACTTGTGCCTCTCGGCACACACAGCGCCTCTACCCGTGCAAAAAAAATTGCGAATACACATCTTGCCCCTGCCTCAAACCCATGCAAGGGGGTTAGATTGGCCTCCCTGTGCCATCTCCAAAATGTCTGACTATGACGAGCACTAATCAAGCACTGAGCAGTTTGTTGAGGGACAAGAAGTACTGAGAGTTTTGCGGAATTCAACGCCCCTGTTTCACCTTCTCTCTCGCGGCTTACACGGCCACATGAGTTGCGCAACAGGTTGCTTCCCTCCCTTTTGGTGTTTTTGGTGTTTTTGGTTTTGGGTTGGTTGGTGTTTGGGTGTTTTGTTCTTCTGTTTGGTTTGCAACCTGTATAGTAACTCCTCCTTAACTCGACCAAGGTGACTTGTGCAGAACCTGCACACATAGCGCCTCGACTCGTGCAAAAAAAGAGGTTGAGAATGGTGTTCCGACCTTTCTTGGTTGTCGGAATTGGTACTGCTCATCCATGCCATGCAACACTGTGTTCTGAGCGATGAAGCCTCATTTGAAGTAAGGAACTTCGGCTGCAAAGCTTGAAAACTCATTGCACATTATCGCAGGAAGGGCCCAACAGATTTCGGGAGCGGTATTCAAATCCCACAGCCTCATTGAAAAGAAAAGGCTCATCTGATGGTGAAGTACTGAGTGCAAAGGCTGCTGAATTCATTGCCCCTTTGTTTCACCGAGTTTCACTTTTGTCTACTGGTTTACGCAGCCAACTTGAGGTACGAACCTTGCTCCCTTTTGGTGTTTTGGGTTTGTTGGTTTGGGTTTTGTTGTTCTGGTTTCGGTTTGCCGCTTGGTTCGTATCTCTCTCTTTTACTAGCCTAAGGTGACTTGTGCATCCTCTGCACACACAGCGCCTCGACCCGTGCAAAAAAAATTGCAGCAAGTGCCGCGTGCCATGGCGCAAAGTTCAGTCGACGTGCCCAGTGGCCAAACCATTTGTCCTTTTGCTGACTCGCCACACATTACACAAGAAGGATTTACCCTCCATGGCTCCAACCCAGAGAGCCGAGCAAGGGTCTATCGCCTTCTTTTACAAAGAGAAACTGTGAGCAACGTGGCGCATGGTGTCATGAACCAATTGACCTGGGCATATGACTCTGGGAACCCTATACAAGTCTTCAACTTCAACTCCTTAGGCCACCTTGAGCACCGCCCCTTTCTACCCCCTGCCAAGCGCAAGGCCGCAATGTGGCTCACAGCAGCCTGACTCACAACCTGTGCATCGACCGCCACCGGCATTCCAGGTCTTCCACCCGCCCCCAGCAGGGCAACCAGGCGTTTACGCTTCTCAGGCTTCACTGGCGAATCAAAGCGTTCAGGAGCAAATGGCAGTCTCGCCTAGTGAGGAGTTACATCAGCGCCAGTTGCCCTTTGTAAGCCTGGCAAGGGATGCGTTGAGGCGGGTCTCCTTTATAAAGGAAGCAGCATGGCAAATATTTGATCTCCTGCAAACCCATCCTCCCACATATGATGAAGCTGCCCATCAAAAAAGGGCTCGAGCCTGTCATGCTGTTTATCAAGAAATGGTAGAACTCGAGGAGGCTTTCGAGCGAGCTCTCTAACAGAGACAACCTTCCTCCAATTCGGATGTCGGGAACCTACTGACAGTGTGCACGAAGAGATAAGACGTGGACAGAAAGATCTCTTCGATCATAGATCCATATGTCACACGTACGGTCGTCAACAATGCTCCAGTGTAATCAATTGGGCCTTTCAACCAGAGTTCTAAAGGACGCTGTTCTGCTATCATGTTTCCTTAGAGGCTTTTGAGAGCCCTGCGTTTCGGCAAGGAAGCTGGACGCTTCCGTGTGAGAACGCCTCAACCACCATGCAAGCTACCAGGAAGCAAACCAACACATTAAAAAACTACAGGCAAGTAAGGTGGGGCGCAGCGTAGCGACTTGGCTTCCCCAGCAAGTACGGGTGGGAAGAAAACCGACATTGTCCCAGAGTCACGCTTCCTTAAAAACATCGGATAGAGTCGAAACAAATTGGACAACTTTGACGTGAAGGGCTTTGAGCGAACTGGCGGCGAAATATGGTCTCAAGGGCCTTGACGTGAGGAATCCAAAGGCGAAGGGCTTTGAGCCCCCTGACGAATGAACGAATGAAAGGCCCCAAGGGCCTTGCCGTGAGGGATCTTGACGTGAAGGGCTTTGAGCGCACTGGTGACGGAGGTCGACTTTGCCAGAAAGCGAAAATCTAAAGCGCGAGTCCATCATCTGGTTCTGAGAATCTGGAGCAATGTTCTTCTTGCAGCAAGCATCTGTGCTGATGCAAAACCAACTTTTCAGCCGACGAAACAAATATCGGCGCAGCAGAACTATTCAGGACGTCGCTAGATGCTTGTGTTCTCGGCAATGGAATCAAAAAAGGGTGACCCCTCAAACCAAATCAATTGCGTGGAGGATTTTTGCTTCGTGGCTGAGAGCCATGCTGGAGCCAGAAGTGGGAGGGTGATCCTCTAGCTTGGTCGAGAGCTCCACCGATTTGCACCACGATCCAAAAAGAACTTTGGCAGTCTTGTTTGTTGAAAGCATGTTCATCATGTTTGCGCCCTTGGATTGTGACCTTGGCTTGAGGCATGACCTTGGATTGTGGAATGAACATGATATGTCAGGTTGGAACCATGAGGATACCCCCATAATGGTCGACCAGGACGTCGATCTGAAGGTGCCTCCGAAGGGACGGCAAGGTGCCACAGTTTGCTTTCGACTGCAAAACTTTGTGCGGGCAAATAAAAAAGACGTGGCAGGTGAGCTTTCACATTGATCATATTGCTGCTGCCTTTGCATTGTCATGTGGTAAGAATTGTTTGGCCGGAAAGCACTTGAGATGGTTTCAGTCTGTGCGTCGGGCCATTCAGTGGATGAGGTGGTGTTGTTGATGGACTTCGCGTTTTTAGTTTTGAAACAACTCCGGTTTAGGTGGGGTGACTGATCTTTTCACAGAAGAATTCTTGGGCAAGGCTGGTTTGGCAAAATTTTTGGAGGTTTTCTGCTCATGTTCTTTTTCTTTTGGGGAACACCGCTGTTCATTTTGAAGGTTATGGTGGCTCCATGAACTTCAAACATTTTGTTTGCGTCGCCTGCGACCTGTTGATAGCGGAAGGGAAACACACCGTCCAGGTGAATAGTGTGCTTTTCCAGTGTAGTAAGGGTTGCACGGTTCTCTTTGTTGCTTTAATTCTCCAAAACCACTCCCACGGATAAGGACAAATGAAATGAACTTGCATGAAAAATGGAATCGTCAGACTATTTTAACAAAAAATATTTTTGGACCCTTGATATAGTTTCATGAGGACATGCCGTGCTTTTGGTTCACAACCGACCCGATTCCGAGCCTGCAGTCAGCAGACTGGCAGAATCAAGCGTTGAAGAAACCGCACTGGAGTTTCAAGTGCAGGATGACTTTATGTGTTCGGAACATTGAATCACATATTTTAACAGTCAAGCCTGACTTGCTCATTCACTACACGTTGCCAACCTTTTCCAAGTGACACGTAGCAAACAGAATCTTTCAAATTGTTTGGGAGTGTTTCGCGTTTAGTTTTGGTGGAGGATCACCCCACAGTTTAACGCCACAGCCGCAAGCTGTCGCCATGAATCCTATCCATCTCTTGCTGCAACAGCAGTTGGGTGTTTTGGCAAAAGCTGAATCAGCTGCTGACCCCATCCGCAAAGTTGTGTTTTTTCGGCCATCGCTACTAGGTTGGAGGCCATTGCTCATTGCTAGTAGGTTGGGGCTTTGCATGTTTGTAGATGATCGTACAGCAACATGCGCATCATGGAAACCAAAATTGGTTTGAGGGTATTGGACTTGAGCGCAGTCCAAGCATGTTTCGCTGATTTTTTGTTGACACAGTTTTTCTAGAAGTGCTTGACCTCAGAGCCAGACGTCTGAAAGTTACGTTCAAGTTTGTTGGTGACGGAGTGAATGAGGGGCCAAGTGGCCAAGTACTGCAACAATGTTGTTGATCAATTCCACAGTTTTGACCTGGCAAGAGCTTGCATGGCATTGGTGTCAGTCAATTACCTTTACAGTCGGTTTATTAAGACATTTAGGTTTTGAGGTTCTTAACAGATTCTCGTGAACACACTGTCATGGATTGAATGATCCGCTCATGGATTTGTCGCAATTTCTGGAGGGAGTTCACACTTTCTTCTACATGAGCAGTGTTGAGAACCGGTGGCACAGCATGAGTTGTAAGCGTTTGTATGCGTTTGTCATATTGATGAGGAACTGAACATGTGGCCTTGAGAATGAGAGTGGGGTTCCTTCCCAAGAATGAGAGGTTGGATCAATGGTTGAGGGATGCTTGAATCTCCTGCGCTGTGGACTTTTCGAGCAGAGGCAAAACCAAAGTTGTTCACCTATGGCCGTGCGCCACGGGTGTCTAGTTTTGATCCGCACTTGTGAGGTGGGCTTCCGGCAGCGGTGCCTGATGGCATGTGACCCAGATGCATCCGGTCTTGGAGGTGTTGGCGATAGTGTTGCCAAGGGGATCTGACACAAAGTCTATTCGATCTTTGAATGAGTTGGCGTGAGATATTCAGCGTTGGGGTGGTTTCAAGAGATTCATCTCCCCGAAATTTTTGTGGATCAAAAGGTGAAGATCTCCCCACAAAAGAAGCACGTCATAAATCCGTACTGTGGTGGACGGTTTGATGTTGGCAACCTTGGAGCAGTGGACTTGGCTTTGCAATGTCTACTCATTTCCGTTCCTGTAGAGGGTGTGGACACAGGCCAAGGTGGACAGGCTCTGGAAAGAGGCCCGAGGATGTAGATTCAACCAACTGGGAGCTGAATTGAAGTCCAAGTTCATGTTTTTTTTGTAAAAAACTGCATTTTGAAAGGTTCTTGTTCTTCCCACATCTTTCCTTCCAGGACCCCAAGAGATGTTGTGCATTGAGGCGCCCTGGTGTGTCCCAGTCCCGGCCCTCTAAGAACCACTCTGTGGTATTGTTCCAGTGTGTTGTGACAAGCCAGGAGCGGTAGAGTTTTGACCTGAAACATGCCATAGCCAAGCTGTGTTCTCTTTTACAAGGTGCGCCAAAGTTTGTTCTGCATTGATGTACAATTGACAGAGTTGTAAGCTTCGCAGGTCTGATCCTTTTCAAGCAATTATGATTATCACAGGGTCCAGGGTCCGGAAATGCACATCATCGCACGACTCTGCGTGGACTGCCTGGGCGTCGGAATCTCAGGAATACCATGTTTTTCAATCAATATATGGCGCAGATGCAGGCGACTTGACGTTTCAGCAACATTTTTAGTATGCTGTTTGCAGTGACGCGGCCTCCAGCGGTGAACTTGGACATCCCCAAGTCTCGACCCACACTCTTTAAATCCCATGGGCTGCCAAAAGGGCCACTTCTCTGTAAGCCTTGAATCGCATGTGAATCAGGATTTTTGAATCGCATGGCGAGTTTTCATGACATGTTGCCAATGAAGTGAACAGCGCACGGCCACCGGAAGTTCCTCTGATATCTTCTTTCCCAAGCACTTAGTGAGGAGGGATTTGTTCACTCGCACCCTGCGGGCCCCCCCTGCGGGCCCTGCGGGCCCTGCGTGCCTTAGGCCTACCAGCTGCAGCTGCATGCGCAGCTCTTGGCGCCAAAGCAGCCGGCGCCTGTGCCGCTGCTGGCGGCGCCTGCGCAGGCGGCGTTGCCTGCGCCTGAGCCGATGAATCCAGAGCCGCCGGAGCCGGCCGGCGAAGCCGACAGGAGCTCAACGGATGGAATCGAAGAGAGAAACCCAGACGAGACCTACGACCCAAGGGAATCAGTGAATGCATGGCCCAGCGCCTTTTCCTTCTCAACCGAATGATTAGAGCCGGGGCGCACGCGAATCGATGGTTTATATAGTCCTAGCCTGGTGTTTGGCTGAAACGTGAACCGATGACCCCGCCCGGCCAGACCAACGGCTGCGGATGAGATGATGGCGAGGCCTGGTTGACGGGTGATGTGGGGGTGAGGGATGCCGAAAAGAAGTTAAAGAAGTACAGGGTCAAAAAATGTTCGGTTCTCTAGAGCTGAACCTGGAGGCCATGGCTAGTAGATTGGAGGCCATCGCTATTAGGTTCCTTTTGCTACAGGATTTTCCAGAGTTGAATCGAGGGTTTCGGAAGTTGCTACAATCATGCAACTCTGTAGCCCTCTGGTTCTCCACATAAGCCGTCAAAGCACAGAAACAGATGTCTCCAGATTCACTGCAGGAAGAATACCGGTGGCGCTTTTGCAGGTGTATGGCCTTCGCACAGCAGAAGGAGAAAGAAAGAGGTGACAGAAAGACATCTCAGGCTGATGCGAGTTGTGCGGCGCAAGGCACCTCTTGCCATCCTCAAAACCCTTCAAGCTTATGGCAAATCTAGCTCGGTAAACCATTGTGAACAATGGCCCTTTTCTGGTCTATCGACCTTAGTTGGTTTCTTGGGTCAACTTGGGTCCTATCTTTTAGTATTTCTGAAGGGGTCTCTCTGATTTTCAGCGATTTCAGCGAGACACGTCATGGATGTAGATACTAATCCAATCTCTTGAAGTGCATAGAGTTTGCATAGAGGGTGGGTGAGTGGACAGGTGTTGTCAGCGATGGCACTAAAGTCTGGAGACGCTTCTGTATCATCAGATTCAACCAAATAACCCATGAAGAACAAAGCAGAAAAGGGTAGTGTAGGGCCTTTCGGCATTCTTGTGTTTTGTCATATTAGGATGGAGGCCATCGCTAGTAGGTTGGCTTCAGGTAAGGTAAGGTAAAGTAAGAGAAAGCTGGTTTCGATTGAGCGAAAGCTCTTTGCGGCCTTGGTCAAGGTGGAGTCAAGCCCACCACCGCTACCTCCGGAGGAACCACCAGCTCTACCTCAGGAGAAAGGGCGTTATACAATGGAATCTACAAAGCGTTGCTCCATTTGCTTGTGTGTCCACTCAATCTTCCTCCCTCCTTCCCTTCCTCCCTCCTGGCTGTGTCCCTCCCTCCCTCGATGTTTTTGGTTATTAAATTCTGCACGGAAGCTGCCAGACCTTAGTTCTTAGTTTTGACGCTTTGGGATTTCTTCACAGCTGGAGCAGTCTAGGTGACAGTTGGGAGCTTTGAACTTGAAACTGGAGGCTCATGACCAGATAATACCATCAAGTCCTCAAGTATATTTGCAAGGAAGTAGTTCGACGATTTCCGCTCGAAAGAAGGCTCGGAACCAAGCTGCAAGCGTCCGAGGCTAAAGAAAGTTCCAGAAATTATGTTTTGCCCTATCTCCGAAAAGCACAGGTCCCATCTCTGTCTGTAGGCCAAAACGCAACCCATGCCTTTGTCATTGCTTGATAGGACAGCCTTCGAGGCCCGGACAAAGATGCCGAGAAACAGCCCGAGCCAGAGAGGGCGCAGCAGGCGGAGAGAAGAAAAAGGGGAGGGGGTAGGCTGCTCGTAGGAGGTAGTAGGCTTAAGTCTATAAGTTTTTTAAGTATAGCCATGTAAGCAAAGGAGGTAAGCTACTAGCAATAGGAAGCTAGTGCGTATGGACGCAGGAAAGCCCAGATATTTTGGGGAAACTAAACTTTTGCCTTTTTGAAGTGCGATGTCTAGCTTCACACTTCTAAGGGGCACCGTTGAGTAAGTAGCTGTTGAGTAAGTAGCTTACTACCATAACCACTTACTCATTAGGTGCTTGTGGTGACGCACTCTTTGCTCCCTCCGCCTGAGGGCGGAGCTTTTCATTTGCTTCGAAGCTCCGCAATCGAACAGGATCACCCAGACAGGATATTTTATCTTTGGAACACTTCATTGATTTGATATTCTAAACCGGTTTGGTCTGTGTGATGTGATGGATCATTGAGTCACAGATGAACGACTCTTCCCCATATTCATTTGTAGTAGGCAGTCGGGTCGCGTGGGTAGTGTTAGCCAACCGGCTAACCAGTCTCATAAGCAAGTCGAGTCCGTATGACGAAGGCATGAAGGTTCTACATATGGTTTCCTGACAAAGGATCGTGTTACGAAGCAACACGGAGGCATCAAGGACATCACAAAAAATCAAAGCAGAACCATGATCATGGGGTATATGACCTCCTTGTTGTATATGTTTTGAAAGAAGGGTCAGGTAAGAATGTTGTGAACCAAGATGTCTTTTGCCATGCAGGCATGTTTTTTTTGGCCTTTGAATGCACTCTTCCTTGCAGGCCATTCTTGGCAGTGGCTTCCAATTTTCCTGGCTGAGGGGAGGTCACGATCAGGCACATTCGGTTGCCAAGGGAGCGGAATCTATTTGGGCCAATTTGTCAGTAGATCCAATAGTTGTTTATATAATTGGATGTTTTTTTCAACAAGTTGTCAACCCATGTAATGTTCCTTGCCACCACAGTGTTTGCCTCAGAATCTGAGTCTAGATCTACTGTTCTCATGCCAGACAGGATCGCCCTGCAGCCGCTTCCAACTGCCACGCAGCCGCTGCAAATGCTGCAAAGATTGAAACTGTGCACCAGGCCAGCTCTTGTTGCAATTGGAGCACGCAGTTAGTATTACTGTAGATAAATTCATTTGACATCCACGTGAAATGAACTTCCGCTGGCAGGACAGTCCTCTTGGCAAAGCCTGCCAGAGCGTTTTGATAGCTGACACACGGGAACTTTCATGGATGCGTGCAAGCACCGATCAGGCTCATCGATCAGCACCGATCAAGTTTCTTAAGGCTAATAGGCAGATGTGGATTGTAGCTGTGCCATGCTTTGCTCTATACCTGAGTATCTTCTTGTTACTAGTAACTAGTAGTAAGAATGCTCCTAGTAGCGATGCCAGGAGCCCCTAGTAGCGTCCTTGCTCCTAGTAGTAAGGCCAGGAGCCCCTAGTAGCTTCTTGTTACTAGTAAGAATGCCTTAGGTGTCCTTTTGGCTTTGCTGCTGCTGCTCTGCCTTGCTCCTTTCGTTGTTTGCAGAGAGATTCTTGAAGTTTGACCAAGTCCGTGAGCGACTTCTAGTTTGATTCTGCTTCTTTCGACATTTTCCGCCTTTCCGGAAATGACTTGAACAATCTTTTTCCGACCACTTTCCGCGTTCGACAGGACCCTGCCCCCCATGGGAGCGGCAGCGCTGGCGTACATGCTACAAAGCCAGTGGAGACCGTGCACCAGGCAAGCAAGGTTTTTCCTTGTCGTTTCAACCAGAACGGTTTCTCATTTCTGGTTTTCATTTAGACGCTTGCCACTGGCGGTGAGTCAGCTACCAGTTACCAGTGTAACAACCAAATGATGCAGAAGCTTCTACGAGAGGGGAAGGTAGTTTCTTTCCGGTCTTATATAGTCGTTTCCTTGTTATTTATTGTTCTTGTATGTTGGGCTTTTTCGTGTGCTCAGGATAGCCCTCTCGGCAAAGTCTTGCAGAGTGTGATGGACACTGAAAAGAGTGACCATCCAAATCCACAGCTCCAAGAACACCTTAGTCAGGCACTGATGCTCACATTTGGGTGTGCCATAAAGAATATTCAACATGTGTTTGTGCGAAACTTAGGACAACTGTAGTTAAGATATCTAGCTTTGGATAGATTAGATAGAGGGAAACAACATATGCCAAGATGTCAAGTTCCATAGACACCATTCACACCAATGGAATTGACTGGCAGGAAACAGCAGACGATTCCTTTGGCTTCTTCAAAGGTGGCAAGGGCAAGGGTGCATTGCCAGTGGGCAAGGGTGACGCGCCACATTTTCCAAAAGAACACTTGCAGGCGAGACAGTACGGAAAAATGTCAGCAGTCATTGAAGCACTCGCGCAATGGTCCGTCACTTCTGGTTGTATTGGCAGGATGGCCATGACAACGCTTTCCACAACATGTTCAAAGGTGGCACAGGCTTCAAAGGTGGCAAAGGTGTCAACGCAGACGAGTTCCTCCAGGACGTTCGGGAGATAAAGCAAAAGACCAAAGGCTGCACAATGTGCAATTGGTGGGTCTGAATGAGGAATATCCATTTTCTGGGTCAACCAGTGCTGGGAGTGATTGGCTAATGAGCAACCGAGAAGCAGATTTGAAAGGCAAGTCCCATCACACAACGTGGTACCGTGGTGTAGCAACTCTTGCGGCAGCTACGTTCATTAGAATCTGTAGTTTCCAACAGCAGAAGGCAGTAGGGTTTCCATGCGGGAGAGGTGTGCAGTTTGCCTCCGGCATCCTACAACTAACCTGCGAAACCATCAAGCCAGCGATCATGTAGGAAAACAATCTGGAGCAAAGTTGAAACTGGCTGTGCAGTCAGTTTGCCTAACTTCCTCTGTTGAGCAGATTTTGCGTGGGCTAAACTCCATTGCCGGCGCGCTGCTCGGCAAGGGTTTGGCAGAGTACCTTTTCCCCGACAGAATGTAAATAGTGTCCCGGCTTGGCTCCTTTGTACCCTAGTCCACGCGGAAAAGCAGCATTGCCCCAAGCTGAGTCAATTCCGCAGAGCAGTTGGCCCGGTCTTTCCGTATGATTGCGGTCAGGAGCTTGCGATTTCACCTACACGGGCGATTGTCCAAGCGAAACCCGGGTTCCAGCAAAATGTCCGATCGCGGCACTCAACAGCGACCAGGGTTTAACAAGGAATTCCGATCACAGCTTCCAAGGCGGAATTCTGGGTGCAGCACCTAGCGCCGATCACGTCACCTAACAGCACCCTGGGTTGCAAGTTTCAAGCGATCCGGCCCGGCGGGTGCGTTCTCACTATTTTTGCGAAGCACTCTTTCTACGCACAAACATGATGTTTTATGCAGGAAGTTTCTGCAATGGTGACAGCTGTTGCACTTGCGGTGTGCTTTGTGCCTCTGTTGCAAAACATTCTTTCTACGCAGCGCGGCAGTGCAGAACATGTTTCACGGGCAACACTGCAACAACTAGCAACACGCTTCTGTGTACTGATGTGCTTTCGTCTCCACCCGAACCACTCCTGCTGTGCAGCAAGAAGAACTATGAGCAACAACAATGCAACAGGCACTTGTGCACACTTGGCAACACGCCGTTGAATAGCCGCTATTGCACTGGCAATAACATGTTTGCGGTTCTGTGGCGCTTTTCGTTTGGTTCCTCTCTTTGATCTTGCCTTCATTCTTGCTCCCCAGCTCCTGTTCATCAGCTTGTTTTGGGATTGGACAGATGGATTTGGATTCGATTTGGGAGCTGGCGAGCACAGAATCCCACCGTTGGAGTTTTTGAATATTACCAGTCACTTGAGTGAGTGCCTGCTGTTGGGTTGCAAAGCTGAGTTATATAATTGCAACATGATAATCAACTCGACACACGGTTGCACAGCTTGTTGAGCAGTGCCTCCGACCAACAATTCAAGGGAGGCAAAGGTGCTATGAGCTCCAGCCAGGCCGTGTGCACTTGCACCAAATAATATAGGATAATAGGGTAAAGGATAAACATATATGTATATGCACATAGACATACATACGCCGAAAAATGTAGTAAACACGAATGACTGGCTTGTGCTGCCTCTAGGGTTCATTGAGCTTGTTTCATGCATCACATGCTTTCTGTTTAGCTCTTTGCAAGCAGGAAGACGCAGACGGCGGCCTCTTCAAAGGTGGCAAGGGTCCCTTGCCAGTTGGCAAAGGGGACACTCCGCAGTTTCCAGAAGACAACTCGCAGGCGAGTATGATTGAGAAAAGACGTCAGCAGTCATTGAAGCACAAGTGCACCGGT